GTTTCCATTCCATACTAGGTGGCGCTATGCATGTACTACCATTTGGAGTCAGTAAGAGAACCAAACCCAGGACTTCAATAAAAAAACTTCGATTGAAGCAAACACTTCAATGAAAAACTAAGATAGAATAAGAATGCGTGACCCTTATTCTTCCTCACAGCACGTCAATGCTTGGTAACAAACAGGAGCCTAGTAGCAGCAGCTATATACCTGCTAGCTCACTCCAACGACTAGTAAGGTTGGGACGAAGTTTGGTTTTTGCACATGGAGGTGTGTGTGGATGGCGTTTGTGGAGTTATGATGCAAGCGCTCTTCAGGGGCGTGTGAGAAGCGGCTATCATTGGGTGCATTCCGGCAGGAGTGAAACCCGGGCATGGTATAGTTAAAGCCACTGACGGAAAGGACCATTAGCCGGTCAGCGAGCAAGCTGGACAGGTCGGGAATTTCTGGGGAGGACGTGGGAGACGTCAACGATGAACTTGCCAACAGGAGTTCCATATAGCTGTCATCAGATATATTGGACATTCCTGGATGCGAAAAGGCTAGGAAAGCAGCTGCACACATTGCCATTGCCTATAGACATGGGGAAAAACAGTCACACCATCTATCAGAAGTTGATAGATCCTAAAAGAGGCAAGTCCGTGCAAATTATCAAGTAGGTATCAAATGGTTTGAATTTTGAGCTTACCTTAGCCAGTGACCATCTGGGAAGAGACTTCCCTCTCTTTTGACGAAATGAAGTAGATGAAATCCCCCTGACGATGGGATCTGGATGTTGACGTTTAGACCTATTACGAACTACTTTGCCGGAAGGCACGGGAGCGGCAAAGCGATTCATGAGAAAATCGTTGAAATCGGATTTGGAAACAAACAAGTTCCAATGAAGAGCAGAGAAGAAGCGAATTTCCATAGCATTTAAAGCCTTCAGATCAATGTCAAAGGTTGATGCCCATGCACCGTTGGACAAACCTTCTTCTGTATCCGTATCGTGAAGAAATTTCGATGCAGCCAACTAAAAATTACGTTTCTCATAAGCCACCCATCTTTCTAGCAGAAATGTTTTGAAATGTTAGCAAAATATGATGGGAACAATATTGAAGATATACATTCTTAGAGGTAAGGCTTACGGTAGCAACAATTAGCAGTTCCGTCGCCGTAATTTCGTAAAAAAGCAGAGGTTTCGGGTCAAGCTGTCGAAATTTGTCGACCAATATTAAGGCTGTGATGAGGGTAGTGGAGGTAACCTTACTACATTTGGAAATATAATTGCGGAAAAAATTTACCTCAGGAATTCGGAAAACGTGTAAATATCCAGTCTTCCTAGTTGCCGCTCAGTGGCTGAGTTGACAATATCAATAACTCTTTCTGAAGGAACAACAGCAAAAAGCAACAGATGAGGTTTAATCGGTGAAATCATAAAGTAACAAATGTCAACATAGCAAGTGATGCTGACCCGCAAATAAAGTGCAAAAATAGATGAATACACAAACCGACTTAAGCTAGCTGACAAAAACGTCCATCAACATACTAGAGAGCAGACTTCCTCCTTTCGGTAGGTCAGAAAACCCAAAAGGCGAAAGAAACACTGCCTCTTCGCGCCGACCCACAAAACGCGCCATATTCAACTAAAGCGGCAATCAGCCTCTAAAGGCTAGTCTGGTATAAAAACGATCCCCTTTGAACATCTGAGCTTGCATCCTAAAAATCACCAATTAAAACCACGCTCATGAAAAATTTTAACAGGCTACAAACTTTGAAATTTACATTTGTTGCTAATTTGTATAT